ATAGTTGAGGGAGTCACATTAGGTCTGTCATTTTAATGGATATAAGTGCACTGTTATTAATAACAATTGTAAAACGTGGAATTGTGAGATTGACATAATACATTCTGCAAAAGAAGGGAACAAAGTTTACCCAAACCACGTACAAAGTCACCACCATCTAGATTGAAATTACACTCTTTTCCTTTGGCCTTGAGGACTCCATGTGATAGCTTGTCTTGTGACGCAGTTGGGTGCTTTCCTCAATGTGTGTCCTATCCTTTTCCAGCGCTTCTTCCTGATTTCTTCCTCCGCTGGGATCTGGTTTGTTCTCTCACACAGTACGTTGTTGCTAATAGTGTCCGGCCAATGGATCTGAAGTATTTTGCGTAGACAATTGTTAATAAATACCTGTATTTTCTGGATGATTGCTTTCGTAGTTCTCCAGGTTTCCGCCCCATACAGTAGAACTGTCTTGACATTTGTATTGAAAATCCTGACCTTGGTGTTGGTTGACAGTTGCTTTGAGTTCCAGATGTTCTCTTGTAAATATTCTGCTCTTGCTTTACTGATCTGGGCCTTCACATCTGCATCAGATCCACCCTGTTCATCATTCATGCTGTCCAAATACGTAAAGGTTTTTACATCTTCCATATATTCTCCGTCAATTGTGACTGGATTGGTGAATGCTGTGTTGTATCGGAGAATCTTGCTTTTCCCTTTGTGTATATTGAGACCTACTGCTGCTGAGGCTGCTGTTACACTTGTCGTCTTCTCCTGCATTTGTTGTTGCGTGTGCGATGGAAGAGCCAGATCATTTACGAAATCGAGATCGTCCAGCTGCATTTTAGCTATACATTGTATCCCGTGCTCACCTTCAGATGTTGACGTCTTCATGATCCAGTCGATCACCGGGAGAAAGAGAAAGGGTGAGAGTAAGCAACCTTTCCTGACGCCGGTATTTACCTCGAACGAGTTTGTCAACTGCCCTCCATGCACAATTTCGCAGTGTAATCCATCATATGAGTTCTGTATGATATTGACTATCTATCTTGTTCTGTCCACGCTATCAAATGCTTTTTCGTAGTCAATGAAGTTGATGTAGAGTGATGAATTCCATTCAATTGATTGTTCCACAATGATCCGTAGAGTTGCGATTTGGTCTTTACACGATCTTTCCTTACGGAATCCTGCCTGTTGGTCACGAAGTTGGGCGTTTACAGAGTTTTTCATCCTGTTTGGTTTTGTGTAGAGTGATCCGGTGAAGTCCATGTGGTTTTGTGTATGCGTTTATGTGGGAATATGGTGCCGCCTATGACCAGTTTATTGAAGGCACATAGGTTTGCAAATCTAACCATTTTCGTTCCTTTCTCCCAGTTCGTGTCGTCCCATGATGTCTTCATATCCAGTGTTGTCCGTTCCAACCTTGTCATTGAAATCTCCCATCAGAATGGTCAGGTCCTTTGTTGGGCACTTCTCGACTATTGACTGCAGCCTATTGTAGAATTGATCTTTAGCGTCTTCATTTTAATCGTTGGTAGGCGCATAGCATTGGATGATGTTCATTGAAATACCCTCTTTCTTTGTTTTGAACGAGGGTTTGATGATCCTTGGTCCATGCGATTCCCATCTTATAAGCGCATTTTGCGCTTGTTTGGACAGCATCAATGCAACTCCTTGTGTATGTGGGGCATTTTCTTCTTCATGGCCGGAGTATAACAGGGGCTCTCCTGTAGTTAGTCGTTGTTGTCCAACTTGTGTCCAATGTGCTTCACTGATCCCAAGTACATCTAGGTTGTATCTTCTCGTTTCTGCAGCAATTTGGAACGCTCTCTCGGTGTCCCACATCGTATGAACATTCCATGTACCTAAATAAATGGTCGCTCTGGTTGTCAGAAGGGGCATCGGCCTCGTAACGTCCGAAGGAATTCGGCTTTCATCATGAGGCGTCATAATTCTTCTAAATGAAGACCTTCTGACTCCCAGGGCAGAGTTTAAAAGGTTTGGATAATTTTTCTGGTTAGCGTTTTTTTAGCGAGTTAGTTTTCTACGGGATGCGGACGCTAACCCCATGCCCAACCCTCCTCCTTTATCCAGGCTTGGGACCGGCAGTAGCCTTCGGAGGGACTCCAGGCGGAGTTAAGCCGATCGCTACATATGGTAAAAGGTACGTTTACACTAACATGTATTTACGCAAACCCATTCACTGGATTTTTGTTATTGCAGATGTTTCTATGCCAATCATTGGTATAGACCTCCTACAACACCACAATCTAGTCATCCATACGCGCAGACGGAGGCTAGTAGACGGGAACACCAATTTATCTGTTTGCGTAACTTCTTTTTCCGGTTGCAGATTATCTCTAGTCACAATTAGGCACACGACAAAACCCATTCTATCGACCGATATTCGACAATTATTCTGGAATATACCAATCGCAACCGAAGAGCTAAGGTTAGCCAAAAACTGATTCGACCACATGATAGACTTAAGAATCATACGACCGTCAAACAACCCATAGGCATCTCTGTTGCTTATATGTACAACCATATGGTCCCTAAAAATGACAGGAACGATTGGCGTCCAACTGGTGACTATTAGTGATTGAATGCGAAAACCATTCCCGATCGTTACCCATTGACTCACATTCACAATTTGACAGATACCTTGCAAGGTAAAACTGTCTTTTCGAAAATCGACTTTGTTAAAGCATATGACCAAATCCCTATGGTTACTGACGATATACCGAAAACAGTTGTCATAGCGTTTTTCGGACTGTACGAATTTTTGCGAATGACTTTCGGTCCAAGAAACTCTGCACAAACTTTCCAAAGGTTCATAGACGACGTTTTTCGAGGTCCCAACTTCGGACAGGCGTTTGTTGTTGACTGCTTAATAGCAAATGCGAACGGAGAATCGCATCTCCAGCATCTGGATCTTGTTTTCGAACGATAACAAAAATATAGCATTACTGTAAACATTCAGAAATGCCAAATCGGAACTGACTCATTAGACTTCCTAGGACACACCATAGATGCGCAAGGCACTCAACCCCTCAGAACTAAAGTGGCGTCCGTTCTGGATTACCCAGAATTGAACACCGTCAAGCAATTACTCACGTTCAACGGCCTGATAAGTTTCTATAGACGCTTCGTACCGAAATGCGCGTCACTTATGAAGCCGCTAACCGAGTACTTTCTCTTTAAGCTCATCTTCAGTCAGGTACTCACCCCGTGAGTCTCGACATCTGGACTACATTTCGCAGTTCACTTCAGACATTCAACACATTTCTGGATCAAACAATGTAGTCGCAGACGCCTTATCTCGGATAACTTCCGTGAACAATTTCCAAGGGATCGACCTTCTGAAACTCGCCCAGCTTTAAAAAGAAAACACTCTTAAGCTGTGCACCAAGGACATGGGAACAGGTAAGGAAACCTTATTGTGTGACACATCTACAGGTAGGGATCTTCCAATCCTGCCGAAACATTATCGATGCAACATCTTCAATACGTTGCACAAACATTCTCATCCAGATGTTTGTGCAACCATCAAGCTTATAGCAGAACGGTTTCGCTGGCCTGACATGAATAAAGACGTGAGGAAGTGGGCACGCTCCTGTATAAGCTACCAAAAATCTAAGGTTATCAGACACAACAAATGTCTATTAGGCTCATTTAAAACTCTCAATGCTCGTTTCGACCATGTTCATCTGGATTTGGTAGGACCTTTGCCAGATTCAAATGGATACTTTTATTTCTTAAACTGCGTAGACCGTTTTACTCGATGACCAGAAGCATTACCTATCAAGGACATCACTGCTGAAACAGTGGCCCGCACCTCCGTCGAACGATGGGTAGCAAACTTCGGTTGCCCTTCAACCATCACTACAGACCGCGGACGTCAGTTTGAAACTGATCTTTTCCGTCGTCTGACCACACTTTTAGGAATCACTCGCTTCCGAACGACCGCCTACCACCAACAAGCAAACGGGTTAGTAGAATGCATTTACTGACAACCAAAAGCCTCACTATCAGCTGCAAACATTTCTCAATGGACTGACGCTCTTCCCTCGGCTTACTAGGTATTCGCGATGCAGTGAAAGCTAACATTGGATACACTGCGGCTCAACTCGTTTATTGAACGACAATTTAACTTCCAGGAGAATTCGTGAATCCTTTATCTTCTTCAATGAACATGGATCTAATCTCCTACACGAGCAGGCTTACAAACGCAAAGCGTTCAGTTAAACCTGTTTCCACTTGATCGCAATCAACTGATGTTTTCGTTCAACCTGACTTACGATATAGTATACACATCTTCATTCGTCGAGACTCACATCTTCGACCTCTCGAATCAGCATACGAAGGACCCTTGAAAAATGTTAAGTGTAGATGCCAAAGGTATTTGGGGTTTGACAACGCTTTAACCAGTAACACATATTATGAATCGTATTCACCAAGTGAAATCAAAAGACAGAAATGAAGAGGGGGGAGTGATCTGTAGCGGTAATTAAATCCCCAAAATAAACAGCTCTGTAAGTTTTCGACAATGGATCCTGACTACATTAGTTTTAAAGGGTGCACCTAGCTGAAGGCCCTTGGTCATGCATCCGCACCAGATCACGAGTGGGAACGCCGTGCTCAACATCTACTGCAATCGCTAGCCAGATTAGATCAGACAGTCCCCGATATATTGGTAGCTTATCAAATATGTCTTCGAACCTCTTCGTTCCTGTCTTTTGATTTCACTTGGTGAGTACGATTCATAATAGAAAGTGTTACTGGTTAAAGCGTTGTCAAATTCCAAATACCTGTGGCATTTTCAACTGAGTTGTTTTATCATTCAATATCAGAAAAGAACATAACAAAAACCAAACCTTCCTTCTATCAGTAAGTACTTTTAAATACTTGGTCGCAGATTGTAAATAACGAATAATTAATCAATCTATCAATTGAATTTCATAGTTTGAACTTGTTGAGGGTCTTGTTTTAACCTATAGCTTTTGCTTATCAACATTATTGTGCTGATTTAATTCTTGTCTTTAGGGTGTAGTGGGTGTAATGTTTATTTACATTTCTCGTGCATAAAACACCTCAAGTTTGAAGTAAACCTGACTCATTTGTTTTAGAAATAATGTAATCATTTATTGACGAGAGTAATTAGCTAAATTAAAGATAATCTCAAAATACATGTTTAGAACAAATTAGTTTGTTGATTTCAGACCTCTGACGGACCAGTCGTCCGATTCCTCGCTATAAGTCTTGCAGATATATCACAATTTTTCGGCAATTAATAACATGTCACCACCAATTAAACATAACTCCAAGGTGGTAACAACCAAAAAATATTTTTCCTTGAATTCGTAATTTTGTTACAATATCACATAATTTGTCTTCTTTCGATAAGTCGCCCGATAATTTAAGTGTATGCATAAATTGTACGATTTAACGATCAATACCAAAGATTATCAGTACAGAATTATTTCATATATACTAACATTAACAGGTATAACATATTTGGGTATATATATCCATATTTACGTTTATGAACCAATGTATTGAAGAGTTTTAAAATGGTAATCCCAGTAGAATGTGTATTGTTTTTCAGGCGGTTGCACCTAATTACATTCAGCCAGGTATGAATTCGGAGTTCGTTAAGTCGAGGACTAGGACGGATTTTGCGAAGGATCAAACTCAGTTAACATCTAAACGCTCCTCACTATGTCGGTCAAGAAAAGTGTTGCCCAGTAAAAAGTTATCGAGACAAACCCCACTTCTTTATTCGCGAGGAATATTCAGAATCAAGAGGTCTGACGAACACCAAAATTTAAAAGGAGAGGTGGATGGAGTCAATAAAAGTAATGAAGTTTACATTAGATCTAAAAAGAACTATTAGATGATAATATAAAGAATGTATCCCAGGTCTTGAAGTCAGACAAAAATAACTATTCACTTGAGTCTGGTGATCATAGCGTAAATGAAAAAGAGGATGTTGATGAAGACAGAAATAAGAAATATGTGGAGGAGGAATCAAGTTCTTGTTCAACAGATGACGAGCTCGGAAACACAAACGCAAAGAGCACGAGGAAAAATGCGTCAGAGGTAAGTTCGCCAATATAATGACATGTTGTCGATGGCCAGTGGACATACGAGTTTTGTTGTTCAAAGCAAGAGAGGGTTTATACATTTATCATTACAACCTACTGGATGTTCATGGTAAGAAGAGCTGGGTAGAAACTCCAAACTACAGCCCAGAGTATTGGTAGACTGTCTGGAGATCAATGATTTGTCGTCCAACATAGTAACGATTAAAGCGATTGTATGATCTATCTAGGTATTAGTGACATTTTACTGACCATGCGCTAATAATTACCCAATAAAGTGTCATACCAAAATTCTGTGAATACTGAGATCAGCTAAATACATCACCATAGAAAATATGTCGCTGGCAACTATTGAAAAGTGGTTCTAGATTACTTTGCATTTTCCATTTATCATAACAGTTCGTATATTTAAATGAAATAACCTACTTGACAATGTCAAATCTGAGGTTTTGAGGATTATGAGTTAAATGATGAGATGTAATGGGTTTATCTCCATGAAAACTTGTTAGCTTGAACAAAGTATCTGTCCGTTTTATCTCAGCTTTCATTGGTTTGTTCACTAACAATCATTTGTGACTCAATATCCAGTGATTTTAATTGGTAAAAGTTTAATATGTATGTTATGTTAGTTAATGTAATTTGCTTCGTTTTGTCGACTTGATTTTTGCATTAAGATTTCCCTACTTATAAATTTAAGATTTTTATGAAGCTCAGAAGATTGTAAACAACTTTTTGAAAGGTTGTTTTACTTTTTTACTGAGTAAGACAAGACTATCAAAATAAATGTAGGCTTTTAACGCGAAGAAATCAAGTAAAATCTCAGGCGATCGTTTGATAACCAGTAGCAAAACTTAACCTGTAACAAGTTTAAATAAAGGTTAACTTTAAATGAATTTTCCTGGTTTTCGAAATAAGAGATATAGTTTGAGGAATGTTTGTAGTTTGGTTAGATGTTACTCTTTGAGGTTAGCAGTCAATCAGAAGGAATTTTGTCGTCTTGCTAGACGTTGTTGTCAAATATAAAACCAACTTCGAAACTGCTTAATGAAGTTATCTAAAATAATTCTTTAATTTCAAATATTTGACTGTAAAGCAGCAAGTCTTTAGATACAAGATCATCTCAAGTTGTCATACAACTAAGAAAATTAATTGGTGTATCTAACATTTGTTTTAGTCCCTAAGAAAGTGTCGCAACTAAGTTTGTGGCTGTCGTAATATATGAGTCAGATAAGTTCATTTATTTGTCAATGAAGTACATTAACAATTTTTTTAACATACCCTACTAGTCCACAGAATACCTGAGAAAAACAGAAAATTATGAACTACCAAACATACGGAAAACCATTGTTCGTCTTCAAGAGAAGGAGGTATGTTGAAAACCATGAATGAATTCTATTTCTCCAAATTAAAGCTACTTCCTTGACTGTTCTATGAAAAGATGTTGTCCTCTAAGGGATTGTAATAAATAAATGAAATTGTTCAACTAAAGATGTGGTCATAATAATGAACGTGTGAATCATTTTTTATTTAAAAGACCGTGAAGTGCTCTTAGGGAGCTTTTAAATGGATTTAGGTTGGCTTAAATCAATCGCAGTAATATTAATGCAGGAAGGTATATAAAGAATAAGTCTTAACTTCTCTGGTTTCGAAAACGTTTATCTTACAATGGCAGGGTAAAATTCACTTTTTATTTAAAAAGTCTCTTTTCTATTTGTTATAAATTTGAGTTTAATTTAAATTGCAGGAGTAATTTATAAGTACGGGGTTCATAGTAATAATTGCTCGTCAGATGTTGTAAATAAAAACCTATGAATGTTGTACTATATTTGCTGCCATAGTATTTGTGAGTGCCAATATTTATTTCGTGTATAAAGCACTATTATATTGCAGTGAAATTGGAATTGAACTTATTGAAGACATTAGAAATTAACTACTTTCAACAATGCATGTAAAATCATTGAGTTAAACAACAGCAACTCGTTTAGATTCATCATCATTAAACATAATAAGACAACTAATCGCTGAATATTGATTTATTTACTATATACAAGAATATTTTATTGATTTTGCGTAATTTTAAAGAGTATAGTCTTTAATCACTCCGTTAATTGAACTTTAGTATTATCTTATGCGCTTGTCACTCAGTTAAAAGACAGAATCCTTTGATAGAATACGTGAGTTCATCAAGGTTTAAAGTCAGCTTGCTAAAATTTTCGACATTTCCATGGACTCAAAGTAATACTGCAGACGTTTTATCTACTCATTTATAAAATCATGGTCAAAATTAGATTTGACGCATAATTGACTAAAAATTTACCAAATCAATTCATGTGTAGATTTCGAATGTCTTATAGCCATTGTCGGTGTTACAGATTCTCTTTTGTTCGATCTCACCATCAGTCTGCTAACGGTTTATGTATAGGCCTGTGTAAATTCTAGATCAGAAGACTAAGAAAACCGGCTAAGTGCATCGCATGAGTCTGTATTATTACAATTAACAGGATTACATGGCTATCCATACAAAATACATGGCTATGACGAACCACAAATAACAAATCTGAGTACACATAAAACGATGACAGTAATGGTTCAGAACTGAGTTACGAGTTTACGATTAATTAAAAATAATTTATGGAGAATGAAAGATATGATAACATTCAGTGTGTCATTGAAATCTTAAAATTGGAGTAATGATAAATAAGTTCAATAAATATGCATTGTAAATATTTATATTAGATTCCCGGAGAATGGTCTCCAAACTTCCATCATTCTTATCATCTTAATAAGTAGTGGATCATTTATGAATTTGTTTAGTAATACATGGCTTAAGGTGAATTATTTAAATGTTGGTCATCACTTTAGGTTGGTGTTAATTCCCAAAAGGTGAACTCAGTTAAGTAAATACACACTAAATCTTTGTGATGCCTGTTTCTCAGCGGAATCTAGCTAGTATTTTAATTCTTCGTGATCAGCGTTTTTATGCTAAACTAGAGTAAATGCTATAATTATGTCGTTTGAAGCTGTTAAAATTTCTTGTCCAAAAGAGTTTGTCTTATCCCATTGTTTATATTCAGTGCCGAAGTCCGCTTAATCGTTATTGGCTTCCAGAGAATAAGCTCAGAATAGGGTGAAATGTGGTCTGTTTGTTCTGTAGCTAATTGAAATTTATTACAGTTCGTGCTTTCATCAGAAATATTTGAAGTATAAGAAAAAAGCATTTGTGACGGAAAGTCCAAAAGTACTCCTTACTAATATATGTCCAAATAATAATAATAGATATCTTAGCCAGTTGAAAGCATGATTAATTAATCGAACAGTGCAGATCACTAGAATTTAATGCCAATGAAAAAGCAAATATTCTGTTTTCAGAAAGTTTTGTATTCTGGCTTTTTTTCTGTTTAAGCTCTTTATCACCTGATTTTAAACATATTTCTCACACAATTGACAGTCTATTTTCGACACTTTCAAACTTTCAATTAGAACACTAAAAGCCCAAATAGATGGTCAAAAACACCTTTATTATTGAAATCTATAATTCACATAATTTCATGCGAAAGATAAAAGATTAAAATTAGACTAGAATTTATAAATTTTGACAGATATGGGGCCATTATTTTTTTCATAAATACAAGTAACTCCTTCATAGTTGAATGATCATAATTTATGAACAACAAAAGATATCATTGCTACAATCAACAATTCAAAAAGTGGCTTATAATAAACACTATGAAACATGTCATAAAACAGACTAATTCACCAAAAATAACTATTTCACTGTTATATATCTCTTTTCTACCTCACTCTAACAATACTAAATTTGAAACCAAGCTTTATTAAATATTTTTTCGGTTTGGAAGATTTTACAAAGAACGCAAGCAATAGAAGCAGAATTTTATGAACGTTTGATTGAACTTAGAAAAGAAAATGAAACTGAAGTAGCAAAAATTATGAATCGTAAAAATGCTGAATTAATTGCTGTACAAAAAGCTGCTGAAATGAAACAATGTGAACTTCGTCAAGCAATAGATAAACTAGAAAATCAATTATCTGATACAGTCAACAATGCTGATCAAATTAAACGTAGCTCTGAAGAGAAAGTAAATCCATAAAAAGCCTTCAATATTAATTTTTTATTTTGATCGTTTGTTGAAATTAATTAGTATGATTATTACGATCACTGAGGATCCTGTGTTCCATGCCCGTTGAAATCATCCTTTTGTACTACTGAGGAGTTCCAAGTTAGGATAGAGCAACTGTCCATTGCTTTCTGATTTCTAATGATTCATAATTTGAAGCCATTTCATGATGTTTATTATCTTAAAATCAAATCGAAACTTGAACATTTAGTTTCTAATTTTATTGTATTCAAAACATTAAATAATCAAATTATTCAAGCAACTTGTAATATGAGATTACATATAAATTGAGACTATGTGATGCGATTCAGTAATATGGTGTCTTTTTTTAATCTATGGATGATTAAACATAGTTGATTGTTGATCTCACTTAAAACTACCATAGTTGTACAAGATTTTCTTTGACATCGTAAGTAGTAATATAATAATTAGTCTTTTATTTGATATTGCAATGACTAAAGCCCTAAAATATAAGAGCTCTCTTCATAATAAAGAAATTTGATATCAGAAGGGACTGATAGGTCCTGGGTTCAAATTTCACGAGGCGAGATTGTGGATACACACTGCTTAGGAGTTCCATAGTAGGATGAAACAGTCATCCAGTGTTTCCAGGTTTTCAATGGTGTTCTAGCTTCAATTGACTCATAATCTCAACTACTAGAAAGAATTTCGATTTGATACTCAACAGTTGATTAGCGTGAATTCGATTATTAAATATAGTAACTTGTTGTTTGACAAATGTTAGTTTTTTCGAAAAATACCTTTTTTTTTAAACAAAACTGCGATTACTTATTAAATGTAATTGGTTCAGATTAGTGAGCTTGTTAAATTACAATGAATGAAGTTAGTACATTTATTATTTGCTACAAGGTTCAGATTAATGATAGCTGACTTTATTGTTAATATGAATACATTTTAAGAAACAATATCAACTATTGAAATATACGTAAATTATTTGTAAAATTGAATAATTCCTTATTATCCTTTATGTAATTAAAGGTGAAATAGTTGAAAATGTTTTTGTTACAAATAATTAATGTCATTCACAGACCAAATTGCGACACTACGGATAATCGTCGAACAACCAGTTGTGTGAAACTCGTCACCATACATCAATTTCATCGAATATGAAAAGGCATTTGACAGTGTAGATAGAAGAACATTATGGAAGCTTTTTCGACACTATCGAGTTCCTGCGAAGATTGTCAACATTATCCGGAACTCATATGACGGACTACAGTGCCAAGTCGTGCATGAGGACAGCTGACAGATGCACTTCAAGTAAGGGCCGGAGCCAGACGAGAATGTCTACTCTCCCCCTTCCTCTTTCTTCTGGTGGACGACTGGGTTATGAAGACCTCGACATCTGAGGGCAAGCATAGAATACAATAGACAGCATGAATGCAGCTAGACGATTTGGAATTAGCAGGTGACCTAGCCCTCCTATCGCACACACACGAACAAATGCAGATAAAGACAGCCAGTGTAGCAGCAGTCTCAGCAATAGTAGGCCTCAACATACACAAGGGGAAAACCAAGGTCCTCAAATACAGCACGGAGAACACCAGACCAACCACACTTGATGACGAAAATTTGGAAGATGCAGAATCCTTCACATACCTGGGAAGCATCATTGATGAACAAGGAGGATCAGATGCAGACGTAAAGGTGAGGGTCGTCAAAGGAAGGGCCGCATTCCTACAATTGAAGAACATATGGAACTCAAAACAACTTTCAACCAATATCAAAGTGAGAATCTTCAATACGAACGTGAAGACAGTTCTAATGTACGGAGCTGAAACTTGGAGAACTACAGCAGCAATCATCAAGAAGGTACAAGTATTTACAAACAATTGTCTACACAATATACGCAATGTCCGTCGTCGGCAGGATAACATCAGCAACAGCCTTCTGTGCGAGAGAACAAACTATCTTCCAGCTGAAGAAGAAATTAGGAAGTGGATAGGACATACATTACGCAAATCATCAAACTGCATCACGAGGCAAGCCCTAACTTGGAATCCTGAAGGGAAGCGGAAAAGAGGAAGGCCAAAGAACATATTACGTCGGGAAATAGAAGCATATATGAAAAGGATGAATGATGACTGGAAGGAGCTGGAAAGGATTGCCCAGGACAGGGTTGGATGAAGAATGCTGGTGAGTGGCCTATGCTCCTTCGCGAGAAGTAACAGGCGTAATTAATTAATGTAATTGTGAATATACCTTAACTTGACTGATGCAAGTTATAAATTCATGTAGAGAATAACCATCTATAGGTTAGTCGCATATACAATTTAAAAGAAAATCTATGTTATTTATTCAAGAAATATGAATTTTTCTTGTTATATAGATGAATCAATTACAGTCAGTAATGAATAAACAATTTGAAAATCTATTGAAACAATCTAATGAACAACGTGAATTTCTTATACAAGAACATGAGAAAACATTGAAAGATTTACAAAATAAAAATGAATCTACTTTTAAAGAACTGGAAATAAATAAATCCTTTGTTATAGAACTAGAATCAAAAATGGAATTACAGGTAAGTTAAGGTTATGCAGTTTGTTATTTTAATAATTAATAAATTTGCAAATTACTGGAAAATTTCTATCAGATTAAAACATGGAGAATAATCATTTCAATAAATTCTCTAAGTTCTACAATTGAATATTCAAGAGTGGTTAGTTTTACGACAATTACAACACTTTACATTACAGCTAATCCGTGTCACGTAAAGACGGGTATCTACCTCAGACAATGGAAAATGATCGCGCTGTTTTGCGGATTGGTTGAAGATAAACATTAACACCGCTGAATGTCGGCTCAATGGTCTAGAGGTTAAGCGTTCGCGCGTGAGTCCGAATTCTGCGAGCGAGATCGTGGATGCGCACTGCTAAGGAGTCCCATAATAGAACGAGACGGCCTTGCAGTGCTTCCAAATTTTCAATGGTGGTCTAACATCAACCGATTCATGATCTCAATAAAAAATACTTAAGAATCTCCACAAACCCATAATGATAATTTCAAATTACTTGTAAAATAAAATAAAATAATTTATGTCCGAATGACTAATATGGATTATTAGATTAAATAAATGTATATGTTAAATGAAATTATGAGATTAATAATTGAACTCTAAAGAGAATTAGTTGTAAAGAATATTTTTCGTTTGTATATCTGACTTTTTAAAAGTATTTTATTGCATAGCTGAAGTGAGTTTTCATCATAAATTAGGTACAAATAAATATTGAATATAATAATTTAAATCATAAACAGTTAAAGCTAGACCATCATGGAAAACCTGAAAGCACTGGACAACCGTTCCGTCCCAGTATGGAACTCTTCGGCACTGCGCATCCACCTATCAGTCTCGCTTACGAAAAATTGACCTCTAGACCACTGAGTCAGTATCCAACGGCTGTCCAGTGTTTTTAGGTTTCCCATAGTGGTTTAGCTTCAATTGACTCATGAAATCAACTACAAAATTACTAAAATCTCTATAAAACCCCTCAATGTGATCTAGAAGTGACGCGTTCGCGCTTGAGACTGATATGTCCTGGGTTCGAATCTCGTTATCCAAATTTTCCATGGTGGTTCAGTTTTAATTGGTACATGAATTCAACTATTAACTTACTTAAATCTCCACGAACCCCCGTTTTTGACAATATTGAATAATCATAATATTTGTGAATTTTTAATAATTTGAAAACAAAAGCTTGTTTAATATAAATATGTCGAATGACTAGGAAAAAAATTGAATGAGAAAATGTACTTGGATATATAAAAGGTTTTAGTAATTTCTAATTTCAACAGTTGAAGCTCGACCACCATGGAAAACCTGGAATCACTGGATGATCGTCTCGTCCTACTGTGGGACTCCTCAGCAGTGCGCATCCTCGACCCCACCTCGCGGGATTCGAACCCAGGACCTATCAGTCCCATGCCAGGCGCTTAACCAACTAGACTACTGAGCGGTCCAGTGCTTCCAGGTTTTCCATGGTGGTCTAGCTTCAATTGACTCATGATCTCAACTGTTGAAATTGATAAAATCTCCACAAAATCCCTTCTGATTCTAATTTCTAATTTCTTTAAAGATTTCATTCATAAATTTGAAGAAACATTTACTGAAAACAAATTTTATGTATAGAAGTTAAATTTCATTTTCTATCTTGTTTTTATTAACTAATTTCAATAATAAAAGCACAATCAAATTAAAAGTTTAAAAGGACAATTAACAAATATCATGACAGAAAGAAATGAGCTAGAAGAATCATTAAAAGTTAAAACAGAAAAAGAGAAAGAAACATTGAAAAATCTAAAACAACTTCAATGTGATTTGAATGAATTAACCGATAGGTAGGTGAATAAATAAAGTAGTATATATATATATATATATATATATATATATATTACACCTGTTACTCCTAATGGAGCATAGGCCACATTCCATGTACCTAAATAAATGGTTGCTCTGGTCATCAGAAGGGGCATCGGCCTCGTGACTTCCGAAGGAACTCGGCTTCTCACCTTGAGGCGTCATAACTCTTCTAAGTGAAGACCTTCTGACTTCCAGGGCAGAGTTTAAGAAGTTTGAATAATTTTTTCTGGTTAGCGTTGTTTTAGCGAGTTATTTTTCTACGGGATGTGGTCGCCAACACCATGCCCAACCCTCCCCCTTCATACGAGCTTGTGACCGGCAGTAGCCCACGGAGGGACTCCGGGAGGAGTTATATATATATATGCAACCAGGTTACTCAGTAAGTACCCGATAAGTTTATATGTAATAATAGTTCATAAATAATTCCTAGTAGTTACCATTTATTTATTCTTCTTTCAAATATAACACCTATCGAAACTGCATATCACATGAAGGACTAGATACGTAGTGTAATTTTAAGTATACTACCCAATTGCCGAAAAAGATCTTTTTACAATATAATCTTAAGCTTTTGCGTTTGTTAGTCGAGAATTGAAAACTAGATTGAAACATCCTTCTAGTTCTTTTGAATGTCTTTTCTGTGAAGTTATGATTCAAAGATGGAAATTATCATTCATTAATTGACCGATAATTTATTTCGTACCTATTTTTTTAATTTTCATTTTTATTTAGATATAAAACATTAGAATCAAAGTATAACATGTGTCTTGAAGATTATAACCAAGAATTAAAACAAATTCGTTCAGATCACGCTAAGCGTATATGTGCAATGGAATTAGAACGAACAAATAATGAAAAGCAATATGAAACTAACCTGGGAAAAATTAAAGATGAGGTATTTTTGATAGAATATTTTAAATGATTTACTCTGTAATTTTAGGTTTATATACATGATTTGTCTGGTAGATGCACAAAATGAGCTACTACTATACTTATCGGTAAAGCATAAGAAAAACTTCAAGGAAATCTATTCAGTGGTGAGTGAAGTTTACGGAGATCATGCGTTAAAGAGGAATGATATTTTCAAGAGAATCGTGGGTTTCAATGACGACAATAAAAGCTATAAGAATAATGAAAGGCCAGAACAACCACCGACCTCCTGGGTTTACAATGTTGTTTTGTGTATGGGAGTATCTTGTGATTTCCAGTTGCCGATCTGCTTCCCAGATAGTAACTGATGAACTATTTCTGGTTGTCTGTGAAAACAATTTAGGTAAAATATAAAACAATGGGAGATGATGACCGAGGTTACAAGGACTTACAGCGATGTTTTTAAAAATAGAAATGGAGATTCGGCAGGTGTACGGTCACAGCTTGGGAATATTTTGTAGGGTATGATACTGATATGCTCTAAAGTTTGTAAAATAAAGATTTGTTTAAGTTAAACCATGTATTTGTCCGACAGTAGTACTGTGGTGTATGCTACTTATATTGATATAAGTAGTATATTATGCGAGTCACGAATGTAATGTCTGGCAGCAGAAGATGAGGGAAGATCAAGAAAGCAAGAGCGGAAATAGAATGCAATTTGTATGAAAATGTAAGAACAATGAAGTCTGAGGCATTTGAGACAATTGGTGAACATTTTGCAAATTAACAATTTAATATATCGTTTAAAGATCCCCGTCATATTAAAAGACTAATATTTGAACGAAGAATATTCTTTTCGATAAATTCTCATCAGGTTCTACAGTTATATATATCCTATACATGATTCATTCACTTCGCATTCATCCCTCTGTATTACTTATTTGATCGAATTGTAATTGCACTATTATTTCTGTCTCACCCTATTTGACCCATATTTATTCTGATCATGCATCTTAAAATTTTACTTAACATGTAAGCTGATTCAAGTTTACATTCTATATGAGTCATGTTAACATTAACAATTTTATTGTATTTTGTTTATCACAATCCTAAATTCACATGCTCTAAACGATGTATTTTGCCCTTAACCTAGTCATTTTTTCGGATTATTAATTGGGATATATAATTGTAGAACCTGAAGAAAATTTATCGAAAAGAATATTCTTCGTTCAAATACTAGTCTTTTAATTTAATATATGGTTCTCAGATTTTATTGAGAAGATCGCCCGTGTTCTCTTCACTGCAGTATAACTGATTAGCAGAGTTATTATTTCAGAGATGTGGTCAAAGTTTAATGACACTTATTAACTGACAACCATCTTATAATATATTTCAGTCATTTGCAATATTTGATTCTATGAATTATGTACTTTAAGATGTATCCTTAAATAAAATACACGGTAATTCGGAAGCAATGACTCTGTGAAGTCTTTATTGATCTTCTTGAATAGAACTTGCAAAATATTCATTTAAATGAAGCAAGAACAAATATTGGTGCAGAATAGTATGAATTCATATTATTTCGAGGTTTCTCGTCAGCTGCTTTCAAACCAAAAATGTGATAGAATTTTTACATTGAGATAGAGTGAAAACAATTGACATAGATGAGTGTAAATAACTGGGTTACAATAATAACTATATATATATATGCTAGAACAGGTCAGAGGTCAAAAGGAATTAAGTCGGGTTGGGTGGTGTAATAATGGAATTGGATAATCACAAGATAGGTTACGTAATAATAATCAAATAGAATTTGAAAAGTTAAGATAATTTAAGAGGATCAGGTGGTGGAAATGTGTGAATAATAATGTGGTTTAAGAATTATGTAATAGGGGAGGAGTATAAATATTTTAAAATAAATAAATAAAATAACCCAAATAACCAAAACACACACAAGACAGGGTTACCAGGGTAGTGATAAGTTTATTAAAGTCTCTTTTTGAATGCATAAGTTCGGTTTAAGTTTTTTGATCATAATGGCTTCAGCAAAACGGAGGGTGGTCGTAATTCTTTGTCTATTGATAATTTTGAAAGCATGCGGAATGTCCACGGTGTGTCCGGTGTCAAGTAGATGTCGAGCTATTGCGCTGTTGAAAGCCTTAGTCCCTCGCAGCCTCAAGTTTTTTGGAACATGGTCAGAAATGCGGACATGCACTCTTCCCTCAGTTCTTCCAATGTATGTGCTTTGGCACGTACATGTGAATTGGTAGATGCAGTTGGAGCTACTAAGAAAAGAGGGCTTGTCGATTTTGGTTTGTTGAAGTGAGCAGTTCGTTTGCCATACTGTCATAAGTTTTGCTGCTGGGTGGGTCACTTTTAACGCAGAGTTTATTCTGTGATTAATTATTCCGGCAATTTCATCACCTTTGAAGCGTAAGTGTAAGAAGCAGGTTTTCTTTTCTACTCCATCGTATTTTGTACGAGGATTGGTTTTTGCATATTTCTGGATAAATTTCAATGGGTATTCATCATCACGTAGAACATTAGTAATCAGATTAATTTCATCATCCAGGTATTCTTTTGAACAAATTTTTTGAGCGCGGTCAAAAAGGGTTCGTACAATACCCTTTTTATAACTCATTGGGCAGAAACTGTGGTAATTGAGATATAGACCACTCCATGCATTTTTATGGTGAATATGTATATGTAATTTACCATCAGATATTCGTCGGATCCCAACATCAAGGAAATGGAATTTGTCTTCAGCTTCTTGTTCCATAGTAAACTCTATGTCCTTGTGTGCTTTATTAAATAGATCGAGTAGCTTAATGGCGTGTTCGTGATTGTTGCAGACGAGGAATGTGTCATCAATATATCTACAATATAGCGTAGTACCATCGATTGCGTGTTTAAGCTTTTTTTGTTCTAGGTTTCCCATAAATATATCGGCAAGAATTGGGCCCAATGGGCTACCAATGGCAACTCCATCGATTTGGCGGTAAAGGACATCATTGGATTGAAGTTGTATGTTTTTTGTACACAAAAAGAGTTGTTTAAACTCATGGATTGGTAGGGGTAGAAGTTCAGGATATTCACATATGGTCTCTATCGTTTCTTCCAAGGGGATGTTTGTGAAATCCGATGAGACGTCAAATGAAACCATAAATTTATCGGAAACATTTAGGTTGTCGAGTTTTTGTACAAATTCAAAACTATCTTTTAGACTGTAAGGTGTTAGTTTCTTTCGGATTGGTTCTAGGCACTTTGTCAGCCAGCGGGCGAGTTTATGGAAAGGCGAATTAGTCATGGATAATATTGATCTAATCGAGATGTCGTGCTTGTGGGTTTTGGGTAGGCCGTATAAGTACGGTAATTGTGATCCTTTAGGTTTAAGTTCATTGTATGTATGATTATCTATTAGATTATCGATGATAAATCTAGTGGAATCATTTGAAGTAGACATTATTTTGCTAATGTATTCATCTCTGTTAAGAACAACTACACCGGAACACTTATCTGGACGAAGTAGCATTATTGTTTCATCTTTCACAAGTTTTTTCAGAGCTAGTTGGTGATCTTTAGTCAACACTTTCGATTGTAGGGTTGGTATCGTTATGTACTGGTTTGTAATGTCAACTAATTTCGATTTCAACCAACTATGTTTTTCATCGTTCATGGATTTAAGTTCTGACAACTGTTGATATAAATACTCAAACTGGGTTTCAGTGTCTATTTTGTTGCATTTTTTCGGAATGTGAAATTTAAAGTCAAGGGAGAGTGCTTCAGTTTCAATTCGAGTTATTTTTCTACTGGATACATTCTGTATGTATTTTTCTGGGTTCGTAGTAAAGGCGTTATGTTTTTGTTCTTTCACAAGTGTTTTGGGTAATGTATTTAGCAATTTATGACTGTTTTTGGACTGAACATCATGAATGAAATTCATGAGTTTGATTCTACATACAATGTTTAAATCCATAATAATTTTGTCATAACCGAGTCATTCTGTTTTTAGTTTGGAGATTAGATAAATGCAACAGAATAGTTATTATTGTAACCCAGTTATTTACACTCATCTATGTCAATTGTTTTCACTCTATCTCAATGTAAAAATTCTATCACATTTTTGGTTTGAAAGCAGCTGACGAGAAACCTCGAAATAATATGAATTCATACTATTCTGCACCAATATTTGTTCTTGCTTTATTTAAATTCATTTGAGAACCAATTTCATAAAATATTCATTAATAATTATCATCACAAAGTCATTGATATACATAAGCACCTCATCTGGAATGAAGTTGATTTGTATCTAGAAAAAAATGATATTTTCTAAATATCTCTTTGATCTTAAAAAGTATTCGTGTTTCATTGATGATGCAGTTAAATAACACTTCTATGAACAATGACATTCAAGATTTATCTGCAAGGTTTCTTTACAGCTACCTTTGACGTTTTCAAGCTAGTTAACTTTTTGATTGACTGACTTAATTCAAAATCACTTATCTTTATTGAGATAATGATGCAAGATCATTTTCACATTACAATCTTCATCAATATTATAACTATTAATTTAAATAACTACTACATAGAATAAATTATGGAATTTATTAATCAAAAACTTAACGATGTACTAAACTTTAACTTATTTGACCACTGAAGAACGTTCTTCAGAATAACGATGAAAGCTCCACGACCAAACCATCCAGCGCAGAGAACAAAACTCTATCAAAATCATCTACCTGAGCTACAAATCTTCTCCATACCATGTTAACCAGGCCTAAATAAGCAATTATTTCTGTTAAACGGTATCAAGTAGTCAGAAGAAAATGTTGAACTTAGGTTTTCTGTTAGTTTATACTCATCGGTAAGGCATAGCTGCGATTTTAGGAGCATTGGTGTTTCATGGTGGATTTGAGCCTGTGTCACTTAGTTTTACTGTTCGAGATGTTACCATAAAATACATAAAATCGACTTTTCACTAGGTAGTGACAAATCTTGTTTTCTTTATCATTTGATGCTAAGTAAATTCTATCGATCAAGTTGCAATATGGCCATTAGTTTGAATAACTCAATTAGGGTTCCACTTGTAACTCAACAATTCAAAATCAAGTTCCAAGGTTACGTAGGTATATATTGGGTAATTTTAAGTTTTAAAAGCGCCTTAATACGCATAATATACTCTTATTTTACTTCGTTCATAAAATGAGACTATTACAATAGTATTCAATATAGTGGTGTATTTCATAATTACTGATTTTTAAAATTATTATGGGTCCTTAATTATAAGTGCGGGTATACTGGCCATTTCTTTCCATTATAAGTTTTAAATATAATAAAGAAATGTCAGTTCTTGATAAAATTAACCGTATTTGGTCAGAAAAGCGTGATAAAACAATTACTGAAAGTTTGGATTGACTGAATAACTTGAATTCATAAGTTAATTTAGACTGTTTAATAGTTAATTTTTATTATGGGTAGAAAAAAGCATAAGAACGATTGAAATGGATAAATAATCAATGTTTTGTTGACACAGATATAGAGGATTTGCGCTGTTAAGGAATTCTACTCTAGGACAAAATGGATGCCCAATACCTTTTGATTTTCAATATTTAGCTAATTAAATCAGTTTGTAGAGTAAAATTGCAGAATGTATTCAGAAAATCATCTTTTGAATATTCATTAGTAATATGAAAGTGGATCATACATGTTTTAGTTCTGAATACAATCAAGTCACCGGGATATTTTCTGGAGAAGAATGATCTAAGATTTTCCAACAAAAAAATTATTCAATATAATATGACTTGATTTGAAAAAAAAGAATTAATCCCATTTTAGATATGAATAACATCTAAAATGATTTCGAAACATTCAACAGAATATAAATTTTGGTCCAGTTGACTATTTTTTTAGAGGAATAATCGGCAGTGTTTATCATGTAGTATAATGAAATAAATATTTGCATCTTCAATCCTGAATAGATTATCAAAGATAGAACTGTCTTTGGACTTCAGTATCACTTCACTTCAGTTGGTCTAAACTCTAGATTAGGATATGTAATGATGACTTTGAGGTATTTTTTCTTAATATTAGAACTATTCGTTGAAGGTTTTAATGGAAATGTTAGTTTATATGTGTAAGGTGAATGGGTGATTAATCAAACATTTTGATTTATTAACTTGGTCATTCTAGTCTTAGATAGGACTTTGTATTTAATATCACCTGACGTCCAGTTATAGTTGTACAAAGTTGAATATTTTCATGTACAACTACGAGCGCTTGATATTAGGAAATCTATGTGGAATGTAAGGTTCGTTGCAGTTAGCTTATTGTCCCTTTGAATTAACCTATCACGTCAGTAAGGTATGAAGTAATTAACATTTTTCCAACAGTGATAATTATTAATCGAGATACTTTTAGGTTACAGTTAATGCCAAACGTAGTAAAGATAAGCAAAGATAGATGGTGATTAGCAGTGGAACACAGAACGCGCGTTTCGTTCTATTTGCAGCTCGTTAGCTGGATGCAACTGCATCCTAACTTTGATGTTCACTCCGGGACTCAAATCCAGTATCGTTTGTTCCAAACGCCATTGTGTTGTCTACTTAGCTACTGAGTCCTGATAGTTGTTAGCTTGTGCAATGTGGTGAAGTTTAAATTCATTTTGTATTGTTTGCTTGAATTTTCCCATTGCAAAAGCAATTGGCTATCAGAACTCAGTAGCTAAATAGATAACGTGATGGCGTTTGAAGTTAACGATATTGGATTTAAATCCAGGAGTAAACATCAACTCTGGGGTTCAGATACATCCGACTCACGAGTCCCAAATAGGACGAAACGTGCTTCCAAATTTCTACTGCTAGCCACCATTCATCTTTGCTGATAAAGGCAATATCGAGGCAATCCGCATAGGATGCACATATGCCGACAGGAGACTGATCAACTGCAGTCTTAAACACCAATGTGAAGATTCAAGTAAAAAATACATTGTAAAGATAGCCAAAATTTCTAATGAAATATTCCTTGCTTAAAGTGTTATAAGTTCACTCATGGAAATCGAAAGAGCAACATCAAGTTATTTTACTGTCCATGATTCTTCTTTCTGTCACAATAAAAAAACATGAATAAGGCGACTTTTGTTGTGGAAGAGGCTACCGAGGCCCATTAGAAGATATTAGTCGTCGTTACATTAGACTTTCGTAAATATTTCGTTTAGTATCAACAATAAACTCTTATGTCACATAACATTCAGAGAAAATAAATCCTAATAAAAGTCTTTTTATTTGTTCTCTTTTCAAGTTTAATACAAAACTGGAAGAGAGTCGTTTGTCGTATGAACGTCAGCTAGTTACAGAAGTTAAGGAAGCTGAAACACGCGGTTATGAAAAATGTTTATTAATTAAAAGTGATGAGATTACAGCTTTACAAAAAACTATTAAAGAAACCAAGGAATTAAATTCAAATGATGAAGTAAACTGGTTTTTACATGATAAATTTTAAATAAAATATAGAAACATGTGTTTAGCATATTTAAATAGTTAACAAAAGTTTATTCATGTTTTCTAGGACTTCATCAAATTCACATTCATAATAAATATTTATTAAATGCCATGATTAGAATATAATTTGTGGACGATCTTTGAGCGACACTGAAAAGATTTTGAGAATATTCACCTTTACGCTACGACTAAATGAAGGTTATAAACTAATGTGAAGAATTTGAATTATGATTTACGGTTGATAATTAGGATTAAGAATTAGATTTAAGATTTTTATCACGAACTAACATCAACTATGATGCTAAAACTCTATTTATTTAGCCAAATGAATGAATTAATTTTGCTCCAAAATTCAAGACCTGTTATCGTAAATCTGGTTGGTTAGTTCATATAGTATAGTGTCGCCGATTTCAATCACTACTGACTTGTTTAACAAATCATTTTGTTGACTAAACTATAGTGCTTTTAAACTTGTTGATTAAAGTTTTCAATCCAGTTACTTCTAATTGGAAAGTCGTAGGGCTGTACGAGTAATAAGTGTTAGTCTTTCATAGTGTATGATATATATAAGGAGTTATCAAAGGACTACTTGTATTTTGGTATCGAACTATTGTGTTATAAAGCTGTTGACTAATGAATATCTGGAAATTATTAGTTCATATTGTTTTATAGAATTTCGCAAATGAATTCATTTAGTTTAGTCTAGGTTTTGGAACATTGGTTAAGATTGGAACAAAAAATTATAAAGCTAATTACACCATGAAATAAATAAACGGAGGTTTATGATATATATGGATAAGTTAAGCTTTGTAGGTTAATTAATGAAACTATAATCAGGAAAAGAGTAAAAAATGATTTGATCAAATGAAAGCAATGGTTTAAAAAGGACTCATTCAAATAAAGGTAATGTAGGCAGGGTAACAGAGGACTGATTACCAAAAATATTTTAAACTACAGAGATTGGATTTCAAGCGCTTAACAGTTACAACTTCAGGAGACTTGAGAATACTAGCGATGGGTTGTTTATAAGTCAACTTTTAGGATTTTAAGGTATCTTTCTAATGATTTATGTTAATCAATCATCAACAAATTGCAGTAATGGGGGTCTTAGCATTCCCTAAGCACAAGCTTTCTGGAAAGTATTCAAGCACTATAAATTGGCCCCCGTTTTTCTGTTACATCAATGTAATTGCCTTGACAAAAATGAGTAAATTTGTACTACCTGTTAGTCGTGAAAGTTAATATTATTCTTGTGTTGGTACTTACCAATCGCACATATCGTGGGATGATATCTCTTCTAGATGAATATTGAAAAGAAGTCGTGCTAGTAGTGGTCTTGTTGACTTGAGAGTGTTCATAGAACTCAAACGATGACATCTCTCTCTCTCTCGGTGTTTCGTGAATACCTATGTCTGCATCAACTATGCAATTCTCAGACCTTATCACTTACAATGGAATTCTACAGATTAGGTTGAGATTCACTATCTTTCGAATTAAATGTTTCGAACCCTTTCTGGATATAGAATAACAGGATTGCAATAGATTCTAATTATCTATGGGAAACATACCAACTACAGTAAATAATTTGACGTCGGCTGTGAATGTTTAGTTTCCCGTTTTAAAACTAACCAGCGTGGGGTGGTTTGGGTTAAAAAACAATCTGGTTTAGTTAATAAATCCTTATTGGATAAACAGGAAAAACAACCCTGGGCACTGTATCAAGTCAGTTATTATGGTTACTTGGCAAGCAATAATAATCTTAATAAACATGTTGTTCAACACAAGATGACCAATTTGATTGCATAATAGGTTCTGGTTGATGAAGTTTATAGCTTTTTGTTGATTTTACCTGCAACATTGTTATTTTTTCAAAAAAAACAATGATTGTTTTGTTTACTTAAATGTAGAGTTTCTTGTAAAAAAAGAGTTTGATTGACTATTTCTTAATAACTAAATAAATTATTTATAAACCATAAACATACTTTCAATAATATACTAATATAAAGGTGTTGTAACTTTAAGCCCGCCTAGTTCACACGTGATTTATTCGCTAATCGAAATACGACTTATTCAATCTCAGTACTATATGAGCAGTCTAGTATCCTTACTCTTCCTTTGTTTGTCTAATCCGTGCAGTTGAGTCCAGAACTCCAATAACAGCTTCCACTATGTGAATCATTTATTTCAAACATACTTGGTTTATATACCAGACAAACAAACAGCATCACACCATAAACCAGAAAATAACATTTATACAAGATCAAACCTAAATGTGGCTGTGAACGTAGGAGACGGTAATCAATAAACTGAAAATAACTTAAAAACAGTAAATCGTATAATAATCTATAGGTCAAAGTGAAGCTTATAATAAGAGGAATATAGATATACACCATATAGTTACTGAATAGTTTTACAATAAGAATATATATACATATAATATTAGTCTATTAATAGTTCTCAGAAGTTACCCGCAATTTAATCATGATTAGGATACAGAAAGATAATTTCAATAATTGAGATCATGAGTCGATTGAAGCTAGACCATCATAGAAAACCTGGAATCATTAGATGACCGTTTCGTTCTGTTTTGGGATACTTCAACAGTGCGCATCCATGATCCCGTCTCGCGAGATTCGAACCCAGGTTTTATTGATCTCGTACACAAACACATAATCTCTAGACCACTGAGCTAGCCAGCATCCAACGGTGTTAATGTCTAACTTCAACTAATTCACAAAATTGAGTGACACATCCACCACTGTCTTTAGTGAGCTACTATCACATAACAGATTCGAACTAGTGCTTCTAAGTCTGGCTTCAATTATTGAAATTAACTATAAATAATTTAATTTCTTATTTTGATTTATTTAGATTAAATATCAAGAAATAATTAGTCAATTAAAATGTGAAATAACTAAATTAAATAAAATTATTGAAAAATTAAAAAATATCTATGAATTAAAAGAGAATAATTTTTTAACAATCATAACAAAATTACAAAAGAAACAATTAGATGATACATTGAATAAGACAAATTCTATTCAAACATATTTTACCAATGAAAAATTATTAAATTCTATTATACAATGGAAAAAACAACAATTAAATGAAATTATATTATTAATTAAACAAAAAGAATTTAATCAGTTAGAAATAATATTTAAAGAAAAAGAAAATATTATACGTAATGAATTATTATTAAAAATTGAAAATGTAAGTTATATATTATTCATTTCATAAATTAGTAGTATTTTAATAAAACAAAACAAATTCCCTATATGCATACGATTGTACAGCTTGATAGTAAATTCATTGAAAAGAGATTCCTTTGTATTCAAATTTTTTTTTAAAAAAGCCGAAGCTCTTACCATCCATGAGCTCAAGCTAGAACTATGCAAACAAAAGAAGTACGTCCTATCGTTATCGTTACCATGGTCTTAATTAATAATGTTGTTATTATTATTACAGCATTCCCCCCTTTTACTTATGCTTCATATTCCCATTGTTTTATTCATAAGTAGTTATTATATCAGAAAGGGTTTTGCGGAGATTGTAGTCATCTCAATAGTAGACATCATGCGTCAAATGGCCGTCTAGTGCTTCCAGGTTTTCTATGGTGGTCTAGCTTCAATGGATTCATGATCTTAACTATTGAAATTACTATAATATCCACAGAACCCCTTCTGATATTGATCGGCATATGCTCACTAGTAACTGGCTTCAAGGTGTATATCCTGGAGTTCTAGTGAGAAGCAGTGACCAGTGGAGTTCAACCAAGTTTGTTGTGAGATAGTAACTCACTGAAGATAATGGTGGATGTGACGCTCAAATTCCTGGATTAGTCGAAGTTGGACAATAACACCGTTGGATGCTGGCTCAGTGGTCTAGTGGTGAGGCACTCTTTCGAGAAACTGATAGGTCCTTGTTACGAATCCCGCGGGGCGGGGTTGTGGATGCGCACTGCTGAGGAGCCCCAAAATAGGACGAAACGGTCATCCAGTGATTCAGGTTTTCTATGATGGTCTAGCTTCAATTGACTCATGATATCAACTATTGAACTTATCATATCACTTTATTTATTTATTTATACTTCTATGACCTTTAATTAATGTAACAAAAACATTTTAGTCATCTTAGTACATTCACGTTATAACTCGTTATTGATTTATCAAGTCTAGTGTTATTATTCGTATTACATAACCTGGTTTTATAACCTTTCTATTACATCATTTTGATTATTCGTGTTCATACTTCCTCATGGAACTAGTACCTTAACAAAAAAGTTTTCAGATATATACGATTGTACAGATTGATAATAAATTTGTTGAAAAGAGATCCACTCGTATCCAACTCCTATTAATTTAATAGTTATTATATAAGTGGAAATTATATTTGATATAATCTCAGCAACTGAAAGTTAAGATAAGTTCAATGTTTCGTCTAGCAAACTTGTTCGAACTTCTTCAGGATAATATTCAAATTATTCTTTGTAATATTGACGAACATTCGTATACATCAGTTCAATATATATATATATATATATATATATATATATATATATATATATATATATATATATATATATAAGTATCGGTGAGACCATAATTCATGGACGACCTTTGAGCAACGATAAAGTGACCTAATAACTAGGACTATATCAGCCAAAAGTTTGCAAAATATGATACTGTTTATCAATCAGATATTTCATGTTTATGATCTATTGTTTGGCTTAGTGGAAAAAGTATATTTGTAATAGTGCTAATACATAGTTTCTTTCAATCAGTTATGCTAAGTAGAATGCATTTCTACAAATACAGGCTATTGAAATATATGAATTCTTATGTGTAATATGCGTACAAATTATCAATCAACTGTTTCAACTTGACTGTTACTTTTTTTCCACACCAAGCACTCTGTCTTCTCGTTCTCTTCGATCTTTTTAAACTTCTGCCGCCAGGTATTTCATTTTCGATTGATGACACATTACTTATATCTGTCGACATAAGTAGCACATACCACATTAGAAATGACATTTATTTACCAAACATTTTTCTAATCTACATGTTGATAGATTTATTAGATGTACACCTTAACTAATAATTACTTAAATCATAAAAAGCATATTTATTGTTGATTCGTAAATTGTTATTTACGGTTTGGTAGATGTGATTATTGAGATTGAATAAAGGTTAATTTCCTTTAAACTCAAATCTTATCACAACCAGTGTTTTCTTTCCTATCAACGGATCATCCGTTTTTATATAAAAATAATAAGAAAACAACTAAACAAATTAAAAATTTCAATAGTTGGGATCATGAATCAATTGAAACTAGACCACTATAGAAAGCCTGGAAGCACTGAACGACCGTTTCCATGATGATCTAGTTTCAACTAACTCATGATGTCAACTATTATAATTACTATAATATCCACAAAAACCATTTTTGATAGATTGTATAATTATAGTTGAATTTTTCATTGTTCAATAAAATTGTATACTTTTTAAAATGAAATTTTCAGATTCAAAATGAAAAAAATCAAATTATTGAAACATTGACCAATGCATTAAATTTATCAAAATTAGATATTGTAAAACTTGAAACTGAACTTAAAGAAGCTAGACGTATAGCAATGACAGAAGTGGAATTAAGACGTGAACAATTATCAGAAATAAGTTTAGCACGTGAATTAGAACGTAAAGAATTAATTAGTAAACATGAAAATCATTTAAATGAAGAACAGTGTAAGAATCAAGAAACGATTTTACGATTACAAGAACAACATGCTGAAGAATTAAAAACAATATCTTCTCAGGTATGTAATGTAATGGTGTGGATTAAGTAGTTATATATGTATTATTATATATTTTATACTTTCATTGGAAACAGGGATAAAATGATATAGAACATTATAATGTGAAAAAGAACAAGTTTAGTTTAACATTCAGGATGAGAAATGAAAATATCACTGTCATTTTATGAAGTTATGAGTGTAAGAATAATTTTAATATAGTTACATCTATCAATCTGGATAGGTTTACGCTTAGGTTTCAATTGTTGTGATCTCCATCATGGAAATAGAAATGCCAAATATGTTATGTTATCCTTAAGAATTTTCTTTAAAATAGTTTACCTCTTGAAATGATCTGAAAAATATATCAAAAAAGAAAGGAAAGTGTATATTTTTTATTTTTATGTATTTTATTTGTGAAACCTGACCTTTGCGAGTTGAGGATGTTAGACGACTCTCTGTGTTTGATTATCGTTGTCTCCGAAGAATTGCAGACATCCAATGGTAAAACCGTGTTAGTTATGCAGAGGTTCGGCATCGTGTGTTCGAGCGCAGAGACGATAATTCAATCGGTGTCATTATCTTGAAACATCGACTTCGGTGGCTTGAACATGTTTTGTGAATGTCGTCCTAGAGAATTCCTCGTCGTGCAATATTTGCCGACACTGGGACTGGTTGGAAAAAGCGGAGAGGTGGTTAGTGTACAACATGGTGTTGTGGTATGAAATAAAGCTACACAGGGCTTGTTCCTGTTGGTCCTTCTCGACTTCTTGGCTGGGGTCCTAGAGATGATTCAACACAGTGGTTAGAGATGTTATCAGATATGGCTCAGAATAGAAGCCAGCGGCAATCCTGCTGTAACGTTCTTTTAATTTCTTCATAAAAAGTGACCGTAACTTCTTTAACTGAAAGGATTCTTTCCGGTTGTACCTTCCTGTTTCCTCCATATTATTATTATTATTTCATTACCATACACTAAGTTGTGGTCATTATTGTTCTTTTTTCTTTTTACACGCACCTTATATTCTTTATCTCTTTCCATTCTCATTATTTACGTGTGGTGCATATATATCTGGTGTCCTCTTGTACCAATATTTATGTCTTCAAATAAAATAATAAAATAAATTTTTTACTCCATATGAAGCTTTCATTCCACAAATTTTTTATCAGAAAGTTTTGATTAAGCATTAGTCTAACTATTATAAATTGGTTAAACTCTGTTACTGTTTATGAAAGTCTTTTTTCTCCCTTTTAATGAAGGCTAATGAAAAATTGTTAGGAATAGAAAAAGAATATAAAACTCGCTTAACGGAAGCAAATAAAGTATGTACATATGTTAGTTTTCTTACATATATTGTTCTTCTCATTGTACATCTATAAATATTAGGTTTGGGAGTCTTTAGGTTCTGCAGCAATTTGGAAGACTCTCCCAGTCTCCCACATTGTACGAACATTCCACGTACCTAAATAAATGGTTTCCCTGGTTATCAGAAAGGGGCGTCGGCATCGTGACTTCCGAAGGAACTCGGCTTCCACCATGAGGCGTCGTAACTCTTCCAAATGTAGACCTCCTGACTCCCAGGGCAGAGTTTAAATGGTTTGAATAGTTCTTTCTGGTTAGCGTTGTTTTTCTACGAGATGGGGTCACTAACACCATGCCCAACCCTCCTCCTTTATCCGAGCTTGGGGCCGGCAGTGGCCCGAAAAAGGCTCCAGGTGGAGTTGGGTCTTTATGTAGGTTTTTGTAAAACATGTGTACGACATTATTACGAATTGTTGTACTTGTAATTTAGGGAAATAAACTGATGGTCAAAAGGTATTTGTGAAGAATGAACAGAAATCAAATATCTAGGAATATTTCCTACGTTAAAAGTAACTATATTCGTAATTTTCATAGTGTCTTATAGGAATCATTTACCAGAGGCAACCTGGATCCCTTAACTAATGGATATTTAAGTTTAGCAGTTTGAAGTCGACCATTCAAATGCCCAAATTAACTATAGTGTATAAATGCTCAGGATCTTTTTTATTCTAGATATGTCATGACATCAATTTTTGTTGCAGCCGAATTATTAATCACTTCGTTATACTGATCCTTATTCTTAACCGTACTATTTAGATGGAATATTTTATCTATAAATAGTAGCTTAAATCACCTAATATAATGTGAACATTCAATTATCCTGTTTTCTTAAATCTATTTGGTTGGGATCCAAGAAATAATTCGGTTATTACTAATGATACTTTTAGTTTCACATTAACTCAGAGTATTTCATAAAAACAATCTTCAAACTAACCCCACTCAACCTAGTTCAATTTAGGTTGAGTGAATAGTTTTATTAGCCTTTAAGTTTAGTGTACCTCATAATCAAATACCTGGTGAATGAGTCAATTATAACTATATATTTGGCAATTGACTGATGATAATTTTTTAATGATATCTCTTTTGTAAAGCGACTGAATGAAAGTCAAGAGAAAATAATTAATTTAGACATGATATTACAGAAAGCTTTACAAGAAAAAAGAAACACACAAGAAACATTATCTGAATCATTTCAAAGTGAAATTGAACAAATGAAGAATAAGCAAAAGCAAGAAGTATTGGTACGTATTTATTATTAATATATAAACAGTATTATGCATATTGTTAATTGTTATGTAATGAATTCTATAAGTTTATCTTTTTAAAATAGAATAGGTAAAACGTTAGTACTAACATTCCTTTATGATTCAGGAGTAATAAATGTTTTCTCAGTCGATGAAAGACTTTGAAGCAAAATATTACAGCATGATTTACATAAAATTCAGCTGAAAAGTAATAATTTCCAACAGCTTTCCTGTTCTTTATATATATACAGTTATGTTTATAATTACGCTTAATGAAGACATTTATTATTGACTAATATTATCAGTATAATCTTTGGAAATATGAGTATTTTTTAGATTCGACAAGGTGGGAACTGCTCCAAAATGTGAAATTCTCAGAATTAAATGCATAGTTGATGACATACCAATAAAATGGTATATATATCTAAGCTTACATTTCAAACTATAGAATAATGTATTAGTTATACTTTTAGTTTTTACCCAGTTTTTTTAATAAAGGTAGGGGAGATTTAAAGCTTAGCAGAAAAATTCTCATGATGTTGCGTTTTCTGGGCTGGACAGTTTAACCATGAAGTTCTCTTCATTTTTAAAAATAAGTTCCCGGAGTAAATTCAAAGAGAAATTGGCTTTTGAAATTACCCTTGACGCCAATAAACAGCTTGTTATGACAACATCGAAATTTCAGTGGTCGCTGGCAATACTTGTACAGTCATTGTCTATAAATTCTTTTTTTATGGCATTTTCCACTATCTGACCGATGAATATGTAGTTATTAATCTATTTTCTCATTAGTCAATAAACTGGATATATTTCGATATCCTTATTGACTACTGAGTGATCAAACTGTCAAGCTTTTGGAAATTTTTTGGTCAATTTAAGTGTTGCTCCTGATGAAGATTTCATAATTTCTCAGTCTAATTAACGTTTGTATCGCTTGATGTAGGTGAGGATATTTAGGCAAAACAGAACGTTGACATTTTTGGAGGATGCAACATATAGATAATTTTTCTTTGGGGTTCTAGTTGGTGATTTTGCCTAGGAATACGAAAAAATCTTGGTGATTAGACCACTCGGCTTTATGATCGAAAACTTACAACGAAATTACTTAACAGCCGATACCGATTTAATAACAGAAAAACGTGAAGCATTACCGGGACCATGGAGTTGTTTTAGATGCAAACTCGAACGTGGAACTTGTGCTGTAACCAAAATGTTTGTTTATTAAATACCTTTGATCAGACCTATGGTATGAAGTGCGGTCAATCGACTGGCGTAACTCAATCTGAACATTACACATAGTATTTCATACTTTACATCGCGAACTGATCCTAGATAATAAGTGAAAACCAGGAAGTAGCGGATATCTGTTTCTTCCTCCCATGGAAACACATCAGGGATCGGACCTAAGACTTTCAAATTATTACTTGGTTGAAACCCGACGTGTAGGCCAATGGATGACAGACGGTAGTCTAACGGTTGAATTCTTTCATCGAGACCTGGAATTCATGGGTCCAATCCCCGCTATAGTTGTGGGCGAGCGCTCCAGCGGAATCGCATACTATGGCGAAATAGCTGCCCAGTGCTTCCTGGTTTTCGATACTCATCTAATAAGGCAATTCAATGATGTAAACCATGGAAGCTAACAATCTTCACAACACCTTGTTATAAGAACTACACAGTATCCCAGTCTCATTTAACTTGCTGTTGCTTTAGCCAATCAGAAAGTGAATGAGTAATGGATATGAGAATGCAGCGAAAACAGGAATGTTTCTACCCCCGTAAAAGGAGTGCGGTGATTTCTAAACACTATACCATTCTCCATATGATTCCGGATTTAATTAATGATTTTAAACGATACCCTTATCATAGTTGTGTTAAGTTTATGTGCAAGACCTTGTATATAACAACCGGATATATTAATTACCTGCTCCTCTTCTGTAGATCTTGAAGGAGGCTATATCAAAAGAGCGCAATAGAGCACGTTTAGCAGAGATTTCTCTTCGTCAGCAAGAAAAGGCGTGGAACGATATGAAGACTCGCTGGCATGAAGAACGTATAGCACAATTAGGAAATTCATTACCAATTGAATCCCGTACTCATATGGAGGCAACTATTGAGGCATTACGTCTTCAGGTTAGTTATATGTAGTTTAATTTAGACTCTTTGACCCATTAGTTATTATCAGAAGACTTCGAAGACCGTCCATGCCAAATGTAGATATTGATGTAGGCTTTTTAACGGAAATAAAATCTTCAGTGAAACAGAAGGTACTAGTCTGTTCGAACTGTTATTTGTGAAACAATGACAAATAACATACCTTGGGACTAATTTTTTTTGGAATGGATTTTAAGGGTGTTTGTTTGTCCCATCATGTAACATAATGCTGATTAGTATATTTCCTAACTATTATTTCTTATAACGTAATCGGATTTAACAATAATATAGGTAAATGCATTTACATTTTTGCTAAATTAAAAATAATTATAGAGAACGGGAATGAAGGTGATAATACCTTTGGTAGATGTGGTCAAATAAAGTCTCATACTGCTTGATGGCGATGTCAGCCGGTTCAGAATCAATAATTACAATTAATTCTTTTTAGATAACCATTTATTTATGGCGAACACCTTTCTACAGGTAGATTTTTCCTGGTATTTACCGTTTCGGATACTTACGCACAGATCCTGAGACAGATTCAAAGAGTACAAATAATGTTATAGTAGGTAGGCAAGCTAATGAAAAGGAATGTTTGTACGAGAACCCTAAGGATAATCGTTTTCTCCGTCAAAAACGAAACAAATGAACGCATTAACTACTTCACTTCTTGCTGCGTCGGAATCGATAAACTGGTGGTTCAACCAGTTGCTGACTACTTGAAGGATATTTGTTTTTAAGCGTCTTCCTGTCAACTTTATATAATAGTGTTCGAAAAGATACACTGGGACTAATCAGTTATTTCTGCTTTTCAATAAACAAGGTTAATCTGCTGAAAAAGCGAATAACCGTAATGGAAGAAGATCGGGAGACAAACATCACTTACCCACTAAAGTTACAATTCAGTGACCAAGACGTATCATTACTCAGTGAAGACTCAGTACAAAATGAATCTCCGGTAAAAGATCAACCTGAAGCAAACCAAGACAATTTAGAAAAATGTAAAGTGAACAACAATTCAGTTCCTTTAGGAGATAACTCACGACGGAGAATTGCGGCTGAGTATACAAATTTACAGACTAATCTAGACGTATATCCTTATGAAGCTACTTGTTCAGAAGATTGGTTATTGAGCGGACACTGACAGACTATCATGCTCTAGGTTTTGCAAGTTTTTATTTATGCTTTTAAAACAACAATTGTGTAGCAGATTTGTCTGAGAAATATTTTGAAATCAACTTGGCTATACATCTTGTATATTAAAAAAACTTGTACTAAATGGTATAATATAAAGTGTATTGCAATTTTATACTATTTGTTTCATTGTAAAAATAAGTGCGAAAGGGTAATGGACATCACAATCGGAACTAGGTAAATAAAAATACACCACTAAGTATTTCTTTACGAATTTGACGACTTTTTTCGTTTCCTGTTCAATTTTTTGTGCTTTAATACTTTATTTACATTTGAAATAGCCGCAGCCAGACGGGGTGTTTGAAAAGGGACATTATGGAAATCACCCATCTCTGAAGAACCATTATTAGCAAACTTGGCCTCGTTTTTATTGGAATCACGAACAATATCACGTTTTTTCCGAATAGTACGGGATAAGCGACGACGACTAGGTGGATGATCTAAATTTGATTTAGATGTATCCCCTTTGTTTATAAAGTCTGAAAAACTGTTACCCCCAAAATCAACAGGCAGTTGACAATCTTCTCCTGGGAATTGAGATTTAGAAAATAGGATAGCAATCCCCGGTTCTTCCTAGATAGAAACACATAAACGACAAGTTAGTAATGAATATAACTTCAAATAACCAAATTATTGGATATAACACTTATAGAGGAGAAAAAGCATGAAACCATATTTTTTGATGTATTAAGATCTAATCACTGAGTTCACCATACCCGCATATAATTGTGATGGAAAATATAAGTTATATTTTCATAATATATCCTAACAGAAAGACTAGTTGGGCTATAGCACAATGTTTTACATAATAGTTTCGCGAAAGATTTTAGATGGCTTTTAAATGTAGGCTCACTGTAACTGGGGACACATAAAGTTAAGATAACTTTAGACGGTATGTTTATCTAGTTATTGAAATAAGTAGTAGACTTGCTAATGAAAGTTGATATCTTAAAAAATCTTGTCCACCGACTTACAAAGCTTCAAATATATACGTCCCAACGATGGCTACGACAAAAATTTCTGAAGGGATTGGTGATATCTCCTCCTAATTCCATTGAGGATATGATGGAGGTGAATTATTTTGTCTCATACTTTTACGTTTGGCAAAAGGAACGAGGATTTACCAACTAACCTATATATGTGGCGACCATGAAAAACGGAAACATAGATTAGGAAAGCACATGGGAACAATGAAGTCAATCAGTCAGCTACAACGTAGCACCAGGCACATATATGCATCGGTCAAAGTTGCCACACCTCATTAGCACAACAAAGTGAATACCAAATTCATAGAAGCAGTTACTTCAATGGCAGTAATATATAAAAGAAAGATAAGGACATAATATAATATAGAGAAAGATATAAAGTAACTTCAAGGACTGATGCCACGTTTGGGTTCGGCCTCCCCTTTATTTTATTTATTTGAACACAAATATTGGTACAAAAGGGGCACCGAATACACATGCGCCACAAAAATAACTTGATTTGTGTGTGAGCCCAAAGCAAAATAAAATTGAATACTTTTTAAAACACTGGGATGGAACCAGATAAAAAGTTGTGAGGTAATAGGCTTTCGTGTTAAGCTATATCCAAAGTAGCTGCTAACTTATCTTGGGTATAACAATGACCCAACCGAGCTACATAGACCGGAATACTCGATACTTTAGATCCTACTATACCAGGTAGGTCAGTTGGGGAACGATAAGACTAAGAGGACCAGTAAAGATGGATTGAACAAAAACAAGGTGATATCTAGTGCTGTTAAAGTATGAGGGTGTTTGTTATTTCTTGGTTGCTCATACGTGGAAGGATACTTCGTCTTGAGGTACCTGGAAAGGAGACCGGGATTGGCTAGGTCTTGATGACTTAGGGACGTGACCACAGAGCCCAAGCAGTTACTACTTGAGGTTAGTCACACACAGCCTTTATGTGAGAAGTTTGAGACGTGCCAGCTATGTACCGTTCTCCAACTAACCTGTCCGGTATGTTAGAGCCTAAAGGATTATGTGTTCCAGTGCATATAACAGCTATTTTTGAGTACAATAGGTCTATTTATTCAAAAGGTTTACTAGCAATATATGGACTGTAGTGTACACATTTGGTGTCATACTTTTTGAACGCGCAGTCTTTATTCGAAAAACAAGGTAAGTTACTTCCTAATTTCCTATGCAGTTAGACCTTCATACACATAGATAATTTGTTATGATTTGGATATTATGGAAGAGAAATTGTGTTAAAATCGCCAAAAGTTAAGTAAACAATTAGGGTCATTTGACGACAAGTGTCAGAAAGACAAATTGAAGTATTTGCGTGATACCTAATACTTATGATATAGATTACAATTAAGTTACTTTTTACAGATGTTGATAAAGGTTTATAAAGATAAAACTAAGTTGTAGATAACCGATCTTACCAGGGTGCAACTTATTGTTGTATCAGGAACCGAGCAATTACATGATTGAATATGCAAGCGACTACATTGGTATATTTTTGGTGGGCTGGAACCATCTAATTGTGACGTCTGTGAGATTGTATTGAGTACAATGCTTTTGAACATCTCAGCACACGCAACAGTCTTCGCGACAGCGCCATGCTTGCTCCACCATATAATCTGTGCAAAATGTAGCATAGTAAATTAATCACTAGGGCATCTTACTGAAACTGTAAATGCGACCTAGATCAGGACAAGTATAATAATCAGGACAAGTATACATTTAACTGAAATATGTAACCAATGACCTCTTACATATGATGGGTAAACAACAAGAAATTAATTTACCCAGGTGGCGACCACACGTACCTAGAAAATATGAACTCATTATAAAACAATAAATCCAGGGGAGTAATCACTGTACAGTCATGTTCAATGTTTCTTATAATTAATGTAACTCACTGGCTGAACCTAGCGCAGATAGAGTACTTCTTATGCTTCTTGATGGTATGAAAAAACTGCCATACAGCAGATTATAATCCAAGTTGGTAGTCGGATACACCTTTTGTAAAGCTTTGATTGAACCATTTCTTCCTGAAACTTTGTTTTTGGGTCATGCAGACGCATAAAACGAAAGCAACTATTTTAAACACCTGGAGCTACTTATTGTGCTTTAATGAATACAGGTGTAATTGTTTACCAGGCAATACTGAAATATATAGGATGCTTACATGCAGTGGTCAAAACTACTAACACAAGTCTTTCCATTTAACACAAATCTTAAAAACTATGAACGATTCTCGTTGAGTACTCATATAAAGACGGCAGTGATTAATAGAATGTAGATGTAACTTAAGCTAGGATAGGTAACTCTAGTCTAGTTCTGGTAGGTACACTGATGCACAGACTTTCAGTACGTAAAGGAATTTATCAAGATTATAGTTCGTATATTCTCTTTAAAACATGATAGCAACAGAAAGATGTACATGTAGATACTTTTTTAAAATTCTTACCGTATCTGTCTCTCCACTTTGGAACTTTTCAACGGCGTATGGGACTAGGTTTGCTGATTTGCTACCAGGCATTACATTCATGTTAATACATCCAGATACATCTGAACCAAATATGGACTTAATGTCGGGAATATTTGCATCGCCATGTAGCAGTTTCATTATTAGCGTAGCAAAGCTTATACTGAAGTAAACGAGACTACCCAATTATGAAAGTAACTGAACCAGTCATTGACTTATTTTAAGATAATCAACTTTTTATGAAATTGTAACGTCCAGCCTTTGGATGTTTTGCGTCTAGCCTGAAAGTATGTTATGTCATAAGTGAGTGTAAAAATCTAAGAATAGAACGAGAGAAAAACTGAGCCAAGTCAGTAAGAATACAGAATGCACTTGCGTTTAACAATGAAGGCGATTGGTAACAAACAGGAATAAAACAAGAGTAAGACAATCTGATAGTCGATACTAAAATAACGTGTTTCCCGCTGCGTTAAAACGCTGTAGCGGTTCGCGTTTAGTCAGAAGGTATTTGTGTACTAATGGAGCATACAGAGAGCTGAATAAAATAACAAAAGAAAAAGTGAGCCGATGACCCACTAGGCACACTATTAAGGAAAGCAATTGACGACAATAAACAGTAACACAAGCCTCAGATTAAGATAATCCTGAAATCGAAACTAGAAGCAGGTAGTTTAGTCCACTAAATAGCTGCCCGTTATGGCAAAACACTGCCACAGTGGTTGTAATACCTTAATTGGGGAAAGAAACAAGTTCACATTACTTCATGGAGTTATGCATCCTAGCAGGTTCAGCTTGTATGTAGCGATTTTCCTGTAAGGCATACAGACAAGTAAAAACAGCAAGTTCAAGTAAAGGATCCTTCATGTACACAGTAATTAAAACCTACAATTAAGCAAATCAAATCCGATCAGTACAGCACGAGTCCGGTTTAACGACCAGGTAACACTCAACAGGGCACTTAGTGGCCTCCATGCAGCAACTCCAACCCTTCTCACCAAAAGCCATCATATAATCTCTTCATTGAACCAAGTTTGTACCCAGACTTTTCACCTGTTTTCCACGCTTTTCTATACTTCATTTATACATCTAGTAATAAAAAACGGGGTTACATTTTTCATTACTAGTTAGCTTATTCTTTCACACTCTACAACTTTTCACTAGGTTGAGATGCATAATGAAATTCTACATTATTTTGGCAGATACTGACATTGGACCACTGATGCTGTTGGGTACGCAATTAGGACTTGTGAAACGAAGGAATAACACCTCCTTACACCTGATGTTTAATATCATCCAGGTTGTGTGAGGGCTGGAATACTGCCCGGGTGCCCGAACAAAAGCAGGTAGTTTTTACGGCGTCACACCGGGAGCCTTTGACTTAAAAGTATATTCCAAAAGGCAGTGAAGCAACGTAAGCAGTTGCAGTTTCATAATAGCCGGTGACCAACAATAGGTTCACACGTCATTTGTTTCCTTAGGATCTTGGAGCCTATGTCCACCACTCTCGGCCGTACCAGAGCATCTGGGGCGAAATCTGAAAGCACCGGACAGCCGTTTTGTTCTGGTATGGGACTCCTTAACAGCGCACATCCATGATCCCGCCCGCGGGATTCGAACACTGGACCTGCGGTCTCGCGCGCGAACACTTAGCCTTCAGACCACTGAGCCGGAAAGGAAATCAAAGGGAAATTTTGAGAGACAAAGTGTTAGAAGTCATTGTGGGACCAGGTGGTATTAGTTGAAGGGATTCTGTGTTTATTTCGGACTCGCGCTGTACTGATCGTATTTGATGTGCCTAATTGTAACTTTTAATTACTGTGTACATGAAGGATCCTTTACTAGAACTTGCTGTTTTTACCTCTCTGTATGCGTTGCAGGAAAACCATCGCAACGTACATCGTTAAAAGCGCGCCATTGGATCTATTTCAATACAATAGCATGAAACCTGTACAAAACCTATGATTTGTTTGCGCTTGCTTTCTATTGTTTCGATGTGTTTGATTTCTACGGATATCGGATCCATAGAGAGACGCGTAGATATGACAAGATTATCGTGTTTGCAGTTTCCTCTTCCGTGTGGAACGTTTAGCATTCGAGACCTTACAAATGTGCATTTGTTCATATCGTTTTCCATTTCAGAGAGCCCGGGAGGGTAGACTACCTGTCAGAAACAAGAAGAGGATGGTTTCAAGAAAACAATAATCTCCGAACTTCTGCGGACTGCAATAACGTTGCTTTTGTTTCTTGAAATCTCTTTTGCCTGTTGAAGAGGTACAGTTCTTCAGTGGTTTCTTCTGAATCTTCAATGCAGAACACATATTTTTACATGTAGGAATGCTTTTTGAAAAAGTTACGTTAACGTCGAGCTTGTCGTTGTATAACTCGTTAGAATGTACCACCGATGTCGCTTTTAGGACGATATGTTTTGTTGGACACTTAGTCCTACTACTTAGTAGGGACCAGAAATGGATGCACATACACCAACAGAACCACGTAGAAAAATTCAGTTGCGACTGTTCGGTCTTGAAAATATGGGACAAATAATGTTTATGTAGATCACTAACGTAGATGATCTGTGACAATTATTTGCAGGGATGGAGTGACCATTCATCTTTCGTAGTAATCGGGCCTCAAGGTCAATGCTCACCGCAGGCTACCCTTTCGTCGTATCCATATATCGTGGCTTCGATGAAGATCGTACAACAAAAACAACGTTATTGCAGAAACATATTAGTAAGAGTGAGTAATAGACAGAAATAGAGCGCTACCACTGACATATGGGCCAGTTCACGACGTTCCATAGATAAATGTGCGCCGGTTGTCCTTGACATTGACGACGATCGGTAAACTGATTGATAGTCAGTGACCCAACTCTTGAATTTTTGTAATCATTATACTTTTATGGTATAGTGAGTAGTTTTTATTGGATGAAAATAAAGTGCGGATACCGAGTATTCGTTGCATACTAACTTGAGACATGTTCTCTCTGTACATCAGTAGTTTTCTTAGTCTCTTTTATTGTTCAGCTTTATGATATTTAAACAAGACGAATTTTTCAACACCAAAACTAATGATTTATGATGATAAATAATCTCATGAGACACGTAGTTTTATTTCCATCCCACATGATAATTTCACTTCATATTAGCTGACTGATGGCCCTATATCACGCATCATTATTAGATTACATCTGTCTTGTCACGGAATTCTTCTACCTGTCTGTATTAGACAGTTCAGGAGTCTTAACTTAGAGTAACTTTTTATAAAACCAACTGCGTTATTACTTGCGGCGATCACTGTTTTCCACTTTTTATCGCCAGGCTATCCCATCAGTGGATAATTTATAATGCATAAATCCCTAAAACAACACATGATCATAAGGATCAAATTCCTGATTAACAAAAAGTAATGAGTCCATACAGGTAAGAGTTGGTTTATCGATCGACTAAATGACTTAATTAGAGCAAAGATGAATAGTACACGGGTGAGATAATTCATATATCTTACAAGTCTATTGCAGCGAATCGAGACTCACAAAATTACTGCAACATGAATGTACACATTTTGCTTATGATTCTTTATAAGTAATAAAACTGTACTGATACCAATAGTTCTAAAACTTCGACAAATCACAAGCAAGTACTCAAATTCGAAGTACGTAGTATTTTCAAAGTTTTTTCTAACAGAGTTAAACACGGCGTATAAATATGTAGTGTACGGAAAATGTACCGGTTATTCACTACAAATGACTATCAGAGATCATCACATTGACCCACCAGTCAATATTATCTGAAATTTTTAAGCCGTGGGAAATCGAATCATAATGTATCTTCAAAGACAGTGCACATTTTAGAAATATTCTTTTTTTTTAAAAAAAAGACGCGTCATAAATATTTACTAAGCGTTCTTTAAAATTATCTTACTCTCGTGGCGTGGCGTCGAGTTGAGATTAACTATGAACACCGCTACCAAGAAACACGTGCCAAATAAATCAGAAGGCGAAGGTTGAACCTAACCAAATAAATCCATAAAATCCCCGAGAAGCCAAATATCAGAAGACAGTTAATGGACCAAATCGAGATATATTCGCTGGCGATCTCGTGGCATCGAAAGGATACCGAGATCGTGCCAGGATACAAGCTTGGTTACAGAACGTAACCGAACTCGCGCGAAGTCACAATCAAATGTGTGTGAATAATAATGGAAGCACAAAATAGCTGTCATGAGCACAGTCAAACAAAAGCACATTAAAACAAGCACTGGTACAGTTGGTTATAATAATAATTGTTTTTATTAAACCAGTCGTGTCCTCGTGATAAATGTGAGTCACTATACTATCTTCATTGAATAAAAGATCATGTTTAACGTCCTTATTTTCATGTCCGTCAGCTTTTTTTTCAGAAAGGAATTTGAAATCGCAAGAACTCTAAAAAAGGCTCAAGAAGTGAGGAAATATCTTTGGATATGGAAAAAACAGGTTTCACAACTGCTTTAATTATTCAGTCAGCGGAGCTCAAAAACGTGGTGGATGCAAGAAACTCCGATGTTATTAACATCCATAAACATGGATATGTTAGAAGTGTGTGGTAGTTAAATTCAACTGTTCGGTTTGTTGTTAATTAGAAATAAAAGACTAAATCGTAGATGTGGCGAGGTCATCCTATACATAAAAAGCATCTTAAGCATATGAGCTCTCGAGACCGTGGCTTATAAATGACGGACATGCAAACTGATGCGCTGACGTCTGAAATGCGAATGGCACTACACTGAATTAATTGCAGTGTATCGCAGTCTAGAATGTGTGGTCGATGACTCCCTTCTAAGAAAACATAAATCCTGATGTAAAAGCCTTATATCAGATGACTTTGATGCACTATTTATAAATTTTGCAAACTGATAGGTAGGGCGATTATTATAATTAGAAGTATTCGATTTATTGTACTAACTAGAAATTCCCGAAATGGTGCAGTCTGCAGGAAGTAGAACTAGATGTGCGTCAATGAACGCATTCCATTTGGAACTCATAATAAGCGGATCGTGAATCACAGAAGAATCATTATTTTGTACAACTACATCGTATGATCACAAATTGTTAGAAACCACAGTCGTCCTGGCTTTATTCCGGCACATTAGAGATCTCACCAGATATGAGCTATAAAACTCTTCGTCTGTTATGGACTTAATCTCTACACACGTTGTTGATGTCAGTCAAATGAAGTTCCTTCCACTTGTAGGGAAAAGAGATCATACGGTCATTTTATTCAAGTTCATGGTTGACATTGTGTGTCAAGCAGTTGCTCGTCACTGTCCTAACGCATGACAAAGACGTTTGAAGGCGATCAATTCTGCAGTCTCGACTGAAAACGGGAAAATTGACTTTGGCAAATCAAATGGACTCATTTCTGGCAGTTATATAATCAACTAACTGAACTATTTATACTCTTGACAGTCCTCAAGAAAGAAGCACAGCCATCCTACGTGTCTGCTAAAACGGAATAAAATATTGGAACGTCACTACCAACCTTAGCACAGCAAATATGTCGGAACGCTACAGGTTGGTCCGAAATAAGTTCATAAGCGCGATCCAAGCTACTCAGCGAAAATATGAAAAGGAGTTGGGATAGTCACTTATAATTTAGCCGAAGGGACTGTTGTCGCAAGAAAATTACAATGCAAGAACGTACCATTAAATTCCCAACCGAATTGCGGATAGAAGTGTATCTCGGATGATGGAGGAAGACCAAGACAAAGCAGATTCCAAGAAGGACTATTCCATGACAGTTTCTGTTCAGGAGCCTCTTTTAGACGAATGATTAGGCTCACATACAAATTAACAAAATCGGCAACTCACTGTGAACTTCTATCAATACCACGTCCAAAGGCCCTTTGTACTCAAGACACACTAAACATAACAGGATTGGATGAACTGCATCATAAAAGTTTGAAATAACCTGGGCAATAAGTTTCTGCTCGGTAAATTACGACATTCAGTATGTTACTTGGTCAAGGTGAGTGACCTGTGAACCAGAAGGATGCAGACACCACTCCGATCAACAAAACATGTTCAAGATAACTTTTATAAAACTACAGATTTGTAAGTATCACCAGTGTCGTAGATGAAATGCTGGAAAAAACAATCAACAGGTCCTTGACGATATTCGTGAAAGGCAAAAACTTGTTAAACAACAAACAAAAGGATTTGTGGGAAGAACTATCTCTTACAGTCGACCTCCTTATAACAAGAGAGAAACTGACAAGGTCTCTAGATAGTAGAAAATCAATAATTGGTGTCTGGATAGGCTTCAGCAAAGAATTTCATTAGGTGCCGAATAACAAACTTCTCTTGAAGCCAGAAGATCTAGGAATTGTCGAACCTCCAACAAAGTTGGTGAACGTTTTCTTGATAGATCGCAGACAGAAAGTAAGAATAAAATCAAAGTGCTTCTCCTGGAATCCAGTACTTAGTGGAGTACTGCAAGGCTCTTCCCTAAGTTCTTTACTTTTTATGACTTGTGTAAATGAACTGTCAAGTATGGTTGAGTCCACGATACTACTTTACGCTGATGCAAAAATTTAACCAGAAGTAACAGAATATGCAGCTGCGTGTGCACTTCAGGTGAACTTATGTGTTTTGGTTACGCGGTCTAAAAAATGACTGATGACTATCAGTGTCACTAGTTATGTTCACATGCACAGTGAGTATACTAAGGTAAATAGGTACAGCATAAAGAGGAGGTCGGTGCCCAAAGTCCGGTCTCACCAGGATCTTCGAGTGACAGTGATCCATGATCTTGAGACCATGGGCTCACTGCCATGCGGTCACAGCTAAGCGATTCAGAATCCTATGGTCCTTGAGAAAGATATTCACCAAGATGGATACAA